TTTGAACATTCTTGCACATGTCTTTCAGTGGATGCATTATTTCTCTTGGGTAAATACTTTGTTGTCAATGGTGGGAATATATTTAGCTTTGATATGAATAGATACTACCAAACAGTTCTCCAGTATACCCTCCCAACAGCAATATGACAAAGCTCCTATTGATCCATATCCTTGCCAATGCATTACAATTTTAGCCATTCTGGTACAGTGAAATATAATAATGGCTTTAATTTGCATTTCCCAGACATCAAATGATACGTACTCTTTTTTGTATTCTTGTTGGTCCTTTTAGATATCCTCTCTATGAAATGTCTTTGTTGATTTGATTTAGGAGGTTTTTTTTTTTTCAAGATATTTTGAACACTAATCTTCTGTTAGGTAAATGTATTGTCAGCATCTTTCATTCTAAGACATGTCTTTTCACACTCTTTGCTGTGTATTTTGATGAACAGAAGTACAGTAATTCTGAATTTTAATAAGTCCTGATTTACCAGTTTTTTAAATTTTATGGTGAGTGTTTTTTTGTGTCCTGATTAAGGAATCTTTACCTATAAGATTATGACAACATTCTCTCTTTTTAAAAAATCTTTTTATTTTGCATTGGGGTATAGCCAGTTAACAAAAGATGTTGTGATAGTTTCTGGTGAACAGCCAAGGAACTCAGCCATACATATCCATGTATCCATTCTCCCCCAAACTCCCTGCCATCCAGGCTGCCACATAACACTGAGCAGAGTTCCATGTGCTCTATGGTAGGTCCTTGTCAGTTATCCATCTTAAATGCAGCAGTCTGTGCATGTCCATCCCAAACTCTCTAACTATCCCTCTCCCTCATCCTTCCCCCCAAGACAACCATAAGCTCTATAACAACATTCTCTTAAACTTTATTCTAGAAGTCTGTGATCTATATGGAATTAATGTTCATGTATGTGAGATGAAAGTTCAGATTTATCTTTCCATATAGATAAGCAATGCCCCAATAGCATTTTCTATAATGATCATCCTTTGCCCCTAAATTGCACAGGTGTCTTTTTTAGAAATTGAAGTGAAGTGAAGTCGCTCAGTCATGTCCGACTCTTTGCGACCCCATGGACTGTAGCCTACCAGGCTCCTCTGTCCATGGGATTTTCCAGGCAAGAATACTGGAGTGGGTTGCCANACAGTTCCCTGTGCTATTCGGTGGGTCCTTATCAGTTACTTATTTTATATATAGCAGTGTGTATGTGTCAGTCCTCATCTTCCGATTTATCCCTCCCTTGCCCCTTGGTAACCTAGGTTTGTTTTCTACATCTGTGACTCTATTTCTGTCTTATAAATAGGTTCATTTGTACCATTTTTTTTAGATTCCACATAGAAGTGATATCATGTGATATTTGTATTTCTCTGACTTACTTCACTCATATAACAATCTCTAGATCCATCTGTGTTGCTACAAATAGTATTATTTCATTCTTTTTATGACTGAGTAATATTCCATCATATATACATATACCATGTCTCCTCTATCTATTCCTCTGTTGATGGACCTTTAGGGTGCTTCCATATCCTAGTTATTGTAAATAGTGCAGCAACGAACATTGAAGTACATGTGTTTTTTCAAATTATGATTTTCTCTGGATATAGGCCCAGGAGTAGGATTGCTGGATCCTATGGTACCTCTATTTTTAGTGTTTTAAGGAACCTCTATATTGTTCTCCATTGTGGCTGTACCAATTTACTTTCCCACCAACAATGAAAAAGGCTTCCTTTTTCTCCACACCTTCTCCAGCATTTAGTTTGTAGATTTTTTGGTGATGGCCATTCTGGTGGGTGTGAGATGATACCTCATTGTAGTTTTGATTTGCAGTTCTCTAGTAATTAGTCATGATGAACATCTTTTCATGTGCCTCTTGGCCATCTGTGTACCTTCTTTGGAAAAATGTCTATTTAGATCATCTGTCCATTTTCTCATTGGGTTGTTTGGTTTTTTGATAATGAGCTGCATGTGCCATTTCTGTATTTTAGAGGTTAATTCCTTGTTAGTCACTTCATTTGCAAATATTTTCTCCCATTTTGTGAGTTGTTTTTTCATTTTGTTTATGGTTTCTTTTGCTGTGCAAAAGGTTTTAATTAGGTCTCACTGTTCATTTTGCTTTTATTTTCATTACTCTTAAGAGGTAGATCAAAAAAGATCTTGCTATGATTTCTTGCACCTCTTTCATTAGATTTATTCCCAAGTATTTGATTATTGTGCCAGCATAACTGATATTTTCATTTAATATGCTGTTTATTACTAATATAGAAAAACAATTAATTTTCAAGTATTGACCTTTGGTAAACTCACAATTAAATCTAATGTTTTGATTAGTGTTCTACATTTTTTGGTACACAGTCATGCTATTTGCCAATAATGGCTCTTTTACCTCTTCTTTTCTAATCTTTAACTTTTAAACCTTATTTCTTTTTCTCACGTTATTGCACTAACTAGGATTTTCATTACAGTGTTACCTAGAAGTGGAGAGTGGACATCCTAGTCTTGTTCCCAAGCCCAAGGAGGCAAAAAGCATTCAAAATTTCACTCTTAAGTTAGTTGTAGACTTGTTTTGAGGTTAGTTTTGTTTTGTTTTTAAATATCTTTTATAAGATTATGGAAGTTTCCTTCTTAGTTTGTTAAAGTGGGCTTTTTTTTAACATAAAGAGATACCAAATGCTTTTTCTTTTTTTAAATTAATTTACTTTAATTGGAGGCTAATTACTTTACAATATTATAGTGGTTTTTGCTATACATTGACATGAATCAGCCATGGGTGTACATGTGTCCANTACTTAAGGCACACCAGCTTTCTTTTGGTTAGTGTTTTTGTGCTATATATTTTTCTATTTACCATATAATTAGTATTTGACTTTTTAATCAATTCTGACATTCTTTGCCTTTCAATTGGAATTGTTCTTAGTTGCTCAGTCATGTCCAACTCTTTGTGACCCCATGGACTGTAGCCCACCAGGCTTCTCTGTCCATGGAATTCTCCAGGCAAGAATACTGGAATAGGTAGCCATTCCCTTCTTCAGGGGATCTTCCTGACTCAGGGATAGAACCCACGTCTCCTGCATTGCAGGCAGATTCTTTACCATCTGAACCACCATACCTTGAAATTTTGAGGGTAACACTAGAAAAATAATACAAGAATATATAAAACTAATAGAGGATGTTTTTTGAAAACTGAGTACTAAAAAAAAGAGCAGGAAAGGAGAAATAAAGAGGAAAGAACTTAAGGATTAACTATAAACAAATAGCACAATAGCAGATGAAACCAATTCTATTAATTACATTAAAGGCAAATAATTATCAAGGCTTGAAAATTGTTCGGGATTATAACCTTGAGACTCAGGGTCTCAGGTGGATGGACATGGAGAGACTAGGACTGAAATTGTGAGGAGTGTGTGGGAAGAGAAAACATTAAGCTCAAGGTTTGAAATGAACGTTATGTGAAAACTGGGGTGTGAAAGATGAAGCAGAGGACCAGATTTGGAAATCACCTGAATGTATAACACTTTTGCTACAAATTGCATGAGAAATGAGTTTATTAGGGCACCAAATATAAAAGGAGGAATATTCATTCATCTGATATTTATCGGTTGTCTACAATGTGCCTCGGTGTCCTTGGTGCTGAGGACAATACAGAGAAGAAATCAGACAAAACCCCTGCCCTCCTGGAGCTGACAGTCTCCTGGAGTCTCTCCTGGAGTATAATGGATGATTAGTGGCTGGAGTTGAAAAGACATTATTACTTGAGACAGAGACGTGTGCAGTATATAAGCAGAATCTGTAAAGATGCTGTTCATGAAACCTAGGAGTTGAAGAAAAGCTTGAATAAGGCAGAAATACTGTATTTCAGTGGCTGCCAAACTTTTCTGTATTTTAAAATCCTGATGTCCAAGTTGTACCCCATCCCTATTACATGGTGCATGTAGGTAGGCACCAGGATCTTTTAAAGATAGCTAGGTGATTCCAAATGCAAGCAAAGTTTGGGAACCACTGTCATATTTCATCTAATTTACTATGCTATGAATTGTAAGAAAAAGAAAACTCTGTCAATTAGACACTGACAACATGCCTAAGATCCCACCAATTTTTGTTGTTGCTCAGTTGTGTCCAACTCTTTGCAACCCCATGAACTGCAGCACGCCAGGCTCCTCTGTCCACCACTACCTCCCAGAGTTTGCTCAAATTCATGTCCATTGAGTCAGTGATGCTATCTAACCATCTAATCCTCTGCCACCCCCTTTTCCTTTTGCTGTCAACTTTCCCAGCATCAGGGTCTTTTCCAATGAGTTGGCTCTTTGCATCAGGTGGCCAAAGTATTGGAGCTTCATCTTTTCAGTGTCAGTCCTTCCAGTGAATATTCAGGGCTGTTATTGACTGTTTTGATTGACTTTAGGATTGACTGTTTTGATCTCCTGGCTGTCCAAGCAACTCTCAAGAGTCTTCTCCAGCACCACAATTTGAAAGCATCAATTCTTCAGCACTCAGCATTTATGGTCCAACTCACATCCATACATGACTACTGGAAAAAAAATAACTTTGACCTTTGTTGGGAAAGTGATGTCTCTGCTTTTTAACATGCTGTCTAGGTTTGTCATAGCTTCCTTCCAAGGAGCAAGCATATTTTAATTTCATGGCTGCAGTCACTATCCACAGTGATTTTGGAGCCCAAGAAAATAAAATCTGTAACTGCTTTCACTTTTTCCCTTTCTATTTGCCATGAAGTGATGAGACTGGATGCCATGATCTTAGGTTTTTTTAATGCTGAATTTAAAGCCAGATTTTTCACTCTCCTCTTTCACTTTCATCAAGAGGCTCTTTACTTCCTGTTTGCTTTCTGCCATTAAAGTGGTATTATCTGCATATCTGGGTTGTTGATATTTCTCCCAGCAGTCTTGATTCCAGCTTGTGATTCATCCAGCCCAGCGTTTCACATGATGTCCTCTGCATAGAAGCTAAATAAGTGGGGTGACCACATACAGCCTTGTCATACTCCTTTCTCAGTTTGGAGCCAGTCAGTTGTTCCATGTTCAGTTCTACCTGTTGCCTCCTGATGCACATAGAGACAGGTTTCTCAGGAAGCAGTTAAGGTGGTCTGGTACTCCCATTTCTTTAAGAATTTTCCACAGTTTGTTGTGATCCACAAAAATCTGTAGCATAGACAATGAAGCTGAGGTAGATATTTTTCTGGAATTCCCTTGCTTTCTCCATGATCCAGCAAATCAATGCAAGATGCATCTAAATTTCAGAAGAGTTAAAATGGAACAATAATCAGCATCTTAGAACTGTTGAAACTCTGCAGTCACAAGTACATGGACAGCCATGGAATGAGACAATTGGATTTTCCCAGGAGTATACATGACCCTAGAACAGAATGACTAGTTGGGTATTGAATTCAGAACAGTACATGTTGTTCAACATTCCAGTTTCTGTCCGTAAGAAAGTTAAAGAAAGACGTGCCCACTGTTATGCCTCTCTCTAGATTATCTCCCTTTTCCTCAAGGACCGAGGACAAGGAACCACGAAATCCTACTGTTGCCAGATTATGAACATCAGTTCCCAGCACTGCTTCCTTAGTGCCAGTAATTCTCTTTGCAAAAACTGGGCCACTGGCAGACACACATGCAGATATTACACATCTTTTAAAAAGCTTCTCGAAAGTAGCATCAACCCTGGCACTTTGTAAATGAGGAACTTCCAGGTTTCAGGCTTCTAAATCAAATATTATCTTTGGACCAGCTTCTCATTGGTAAGGACAGCCAACCAGATTTTGACAGACTTCAAATATAATCTGCCTTCCCTAGTATGACACTGGTCAGGGATCAGAGTGTAAGGATCTTAGGATAAGTTTAAAAACTTGAATCTATGTTCAGAAGAATTCGTGTAAATTTTCCTCAGTTTCTTCAACCTAACCCACAGGACAGAAAGCAAAGCCTTCTTCTAGGCTCCTGGAAACAAGGTAGGGGCCAGATTGGCATTTGTTTTTCACCTTAATCACTACACCCAGCAGCGCTCTGCACACACGCGCACACACACACACAATCAATTCAGTTTGCCAAACGGAATGAGTAATAAACAGCCTCTACCCTCAGAAAGTTCAGAGAGGTGGAAAAATTACTACCACAACATAATTAGATGCTTCCAGTCCCATCAGCTTTCATCTGTAATAAAGATTGGGTCCTCAGAAGCGTGAAAGCTGTCAGCAGAACCAGCTCTACAAGTATCTCCAGAGAGCAGGCACCCACGTCGTAATAATAACCGATAACATTGTTGGAGTCCTTCCTTATGTGCCAGGCACTGCTGTGTGTGCTTTCTTTGTGTCTGTTCACTTAATTCTTCAACAACCCTGAAGCAAATGAGCCTTTTATTACCTAATAACCCCATTTTTACACCTGAGCACAGAGAGGATATGGAACTTGCTCAAGGTAACACTGCTAGTAAGTAGAGCAGGCAGGATTCAAACCTGGGCAGGCAGCCCTGGGTCACTCTAAGGTTCTATCTCCCCTACATGAGGAACATTACATGATTTTCAAGGCCTCCTCACAGAAGCAGCCTTGAGTTCTCACAGTTAGAGTCACTTCTAAGGGTCCGCTAGAAACAAATCCTTTACTGAATTAAGGCGTTACTTACCAGAAAGGGATAACAAACTCGCTAGCCAACCTCACTAGTCAGAGTAAGGGTATCAGTCCTGAGTGGCTGTCAAAGCTTGTTAAGAGCCATTGTTGTTTTTAGTCACTAAGTCCTGTTGACTCTTTCGTGACCCTATGGACTGTAGCCCAGCAGGCTTCTCTGTCCATGGAATTTCCCAAGCAAGAATATTGGAGTGGGTTGCCATTTCCTCCTCTAGGGGATCTTCCCGATTCAAGGATTGAATCCTCTCCTGCACTGGCAAGTGGATTCTTTATCACTGAGCCACCAGGGAAGCCCAGTGTATCATTAAAACCAGGACCCAGGCAGTGACATCCAGCAGAGAGGGCAGAGGAGACCCTAAAGCACTGGTTCCCAAAGCTGGAGAAGCCTGATGCTGCAGAGAAGTGGGGAAGCGGGAAAGACCATGTGGGCCACGGCAGCAAACACATTAGGAAACAGACAGGGGAGCCGCCGGGCAAGCATTTGGGAACAGTCGCCCCTGGGTGCCAGCGAGGTTCTGGGGAGAGTTGATCCCGATCCACCCCAGACCCATGACAGATATTTCTAGAAGGAATGGTGGTAAAATTGGGCTCTGCTTGTGACTCAGTGCAAGAAATCAGGAATTTGCCTAATTATGGCACCAGGAAATAGTATGAAATTAGTCCCGGCCACAGGGAAATGAGTATAGCTGTAACCTGCTAAGCCCCCAAGCAGCCCTCCTCTCTGCTAGGGAATCCTGGGCTCATTCTCTGTTGTTAGGTATGAACCAGTGGATTCTGACCAGTTGTTTTTGTACAGTTGACCCTTGAACAAGGGTTTGAACTGCATGGGTCCACTTATACACAAATAGTTTTCAATAAATGCATATGATAGTTCTGCACAATTTCTGGTTGGTTGAATTCAGTAACTATAAAGTTATACACGGATTTTGGACTGCACAGAAGTCAATGCCCCAACTCCCACATTATTCAAGGATCAACTGAATTTGTGTCTTCTGAGATTTGGATAGAGGTAGAGAACTCAGTTATCTTCATTCCAAACACATGGCACCACTGACAGGAAGTAGGATCTCAATAAGTTATTCTTAGAAGAATGAGCAAGTGAAAGAACAAATGAATAAGGGTCAGCTGTATTTACACACACATACATGTATACATACATGTGTGTATGTGTGCATAGAACCATATATTTGTTTGGTTCTTGTGTTTGTTTTTTAATGGTTGTATCAGAGTCTCAACTGTAGTTGAAATTCTGGTCTAACCACAGTGAAGTTTTTAGGATGCAAAACATGGATGCCGCACTTTTTGCTCTGTTCAGGTAGGAAGATGTCACTAAATCCAGAAACCCTACAAATTCAACCTCCGAGAAATGGTCGAAGCTCAACAGGCTACCCAGGTTCTCAGATGACCAAGGGCTGAAATGGCAGCACCTCGGTTACAGCTTGTGCATGCCTGGGCAGGAAGGGGGTCGTACTGCCCCGGGAGGCCTTCCGCCCCTCCACACATAGCTTTGTTCCTGAGCTCAACCCACTTGAGCCCAGCGGTGGCAGTGGTGCAGGCAGATGGCCTTCATGTGCTGTAAGTTCCTGTTTCCTGTGGGACACTTGCCAAATGGGGTTTTCAACACCCAGGAAACCTCTCCCTGTCAGGCAAGATTGCAAGGAGTTTGTATGTTAATTGCATCCCCCTCTCCCCTGCCCCATAAGGCCCTGCCCTTTGGAAACTGGCCCTAGTGTTACAGCCCAGGTATTTCACAAACACCCGTTTTGTGCCAATCTGGCGGTGTTCCCACCCTGCCCTGCACACCCACACCTCTCGGCCCTGTCCCTCAGAGTCCTCTTACCTGTGACTGCTACACTAATTTCATTTCCCACATCTACAACCACAAGTTTCCTACAAAAAATTTCCCTGACCACCAAGATTCCACAGGTAACATGATAGTCTGAGCATGTTCTCACACCGCGCTGGCTCCAGGGAGCTGCACCTGGACGAATGAGAGCTCCTCACTGAATTAAATGTATCTCAGTAGGAAGCAGATAATGTATCTCCCAGGCAAATACAAGATTATGGTAGATCTCAATCTGTGTTCTGTATTAGCTGGATTAAATTTAACTAAATATAAAGCAAGATCCCAATTAATAGTGACTTAAGCACATGAGGTTTTATTTTCTCAAATAAAGGAGGCAGGGAAGTAAGCACACAGAACTAGTATGAAGCTCTTCCCAGCTTTTGCTGCTGGGTTGACCCTGATCCTCAGGTCTAAAAAGGCTGCCAAAGCTCCAGACATCATGGTCCGGGCAGCAGCAGACTTACCAGAAGTGGTACACAGTATCTTCACATGCATCTCACTGAGTAGAATTTAGTCACATATTCACACTCAGCTCCAGCGGAGATCAAAGGCTAAAGGAAATATAGACTGTATTCTGGGAATCCAGAATGTAGAACTGTTTATAAGACAACTGGACTCATCTCTTCAAAGTTGACTGCTTTAGATTTTAAAAGGCTCAAGAGACATATAGGTGAGCCTTCTGAGCCACCATGGAGGTCCTATATATATATATAGGACCTCCATGGTAGCTTAGACAGTAAAGTGTCTGTCTACAATGCGGGAGACCTGGGTTCGATGCCTGGGTCGGAAAGATGCACTGGAGAAGGAAATGGCAGCCCACTCCAGGACTCTTGCCTGGAGAATCCCATGGACGGAGGAGTGTGGTAGGCTACAGTCCATGGGGTCACAAAGAGTCGGACACGACTAAGTGACTTCACTTTCACTTTTCAATATATTTATTGAATGGTGAGAAGACTGGATCTGTTGGAAACAAGGTATAATGTAGGAATTGTTTTTTAGTCACTCATCTGTGTCCGACTCTTTGCAACTCCATGGACTGCAGCCCACCGGGTTCCTTTGTCCATGCGGTTTTCCAGGCAAGAATACTGGAGTGGGTTGCCATTTCCTACTCCAGGGAATCTTTCCAACACAGGAGTTGAACTTGCTTCTCCTGCATTGCAGGTGGATTCTTTACCACTGAGCCACCAGGGAAGCCCCCAGGTGAGACTTGATTGATGCCAGAAGTTATTTTTAGGACGATAGGGAAGCCTGGAATATGGACTGAATGTTAGATGATATTAGAAAATCATGGCTAATTTTCTTAGGTGAGATCACAGAGTTATGTTTTCAGAGGAACATATTCTTATTTTTAACAGACAGAAGCTACAAAGTACTTAGGAGTGAAGTGTCCAGACATCTACCACTTCCTTCAAAATGGTTCATCAATCTCTAAAAGAGGAGCAGCTATCCGGCTGAGTTGTTCAACCTCTGCCTGGCACTGGGCCCCTCTAGGAGACCATCCTGTGAGTCTAAGAGCCGCAGGCCTGGAGGGCAAGAGCCAGGTCTGAGCAGCCTGCATGGAGCTGGCTGTGGGGCTCATGGATCTACTTAAAAAACCTTTACATGGTACTTAGTATGTGAAACATGGGTCTATAGGTGCTTTACAAATATTAACTCATTTACACTTTATAGTAACTCTGTTACAAAAATGCTTTTGGCATTCTCAAATTAAGGTGAGGAAACAGAGGCACAGAGAGCTTAAGCAACTTGCCCAAGATCAT